CAGAGTTCTGCCTGACTTATCTTCCAAAAAGTTTAGTGTTTCTGTTTTAATATTTAGATATTTCATCCACTTGAGTTTTAATTTAGTGCATGGTGAAAGATAAGGATCTAGTTTTAATCTTTAGCAGGTTGAGATCCAGTTTTTCCAACACCATTTATTAAAGAGGCTGTCTTTGCTCCAGTGGGGATGGTCAGCTCCTTTGTCAAAGGTGATGTAGCTGAGTGCATCTGGAGTTGTTTTTGTGTCTTCCAATCTGTTCCACTGATCCTCAGGTCTGTTTCTTGGCCGGTACCATGCTGTTTTTAATCACAGTGGCTTTGTAGTATAGTTTCAAATTGGAAATCATTATGCCATTGCCATGTCTCTGTTGCCTAGGATGGCTTTTGCCATTCTAGATCTCTTCTGGTTCCAAATGAATTTTTGGATTCTTCTTTCTAATTCTGTGAAATATAGTGTTGGAATTTCAATTGGCATTGCATTGAGTCTGTATAGCAGTTTTGGTAGTATGGCCATTTTCACTATGTTGATTCTTCCTACCCAGGAGCAGGGGATATCTTTCTATTTTCTTATATCCTCTTCAATCTCTTTTTTCAGAGTGCTGTAGTTTTCAGCGTAGAGGTCTTTGGCTTCTTTCATTAGATTGATTCCTAGATACTTCATTTTTTTTGGATGCTATGGTGAAGGGAGTTGTTTCCCTAATTTCTCTCTCAGTGAGTCTGTTATTTGTGTACAAGAAGGCTACTGATTTTGAGGTTTTGACCTTGTATCCAGCTAGTCTGCTAAAAGTGTCAATTAAGTCTAGAAGTCTTTTGGTGGAATTTTTTGGGTCTTCAAAGTAGAGTATCATATCGTCAGCAAATAATGACAGTTTAACTTGTTTCTTTCCTATCTTTATTGCTTTAATTTCTTTGTCTTGTGTAATTGCTGTGGCTAATGTTTGTAGAACTATATTGAAGAGGAGTAGTGACAGTGGGCATCCTTGTGTTGTTCCTGATTTTAACGTGAAGCTTTTCAATTTTGGGCCATTTAATATGATGTTGGCTGTTGATGTTTCATAGACACCCTTTATGATGTTGAGACATAGACCATCTATTCCAATTTTTGCAGGGTTTTATCATGAATGCGTGTTGAATTTTGTGAAATGCTTTTCTGCATCTATCAAGAGGCTCATATGGTTTTTGTCCTTGACTCTGTTACTATAGTGCTTTACATTTATTGACTTATGTATGTTGAACCATCCTCACATCCCTGAAATAAATGTGACTTGGTCAGGATGTATGATCTTCTTGATGATCCTTTGTATTCTGTTTGCTAGTATCTTATTAAGGATTTTTGCATCTATATTAATTAAGGAGATTGGCCCGTAGTTCTCTTTTTTAGTTACATCTTTCCCTGGTTTGGGAATCAAAGTGATACTTGCTTTCTGGAATGAATTTGGAAGTACAGCTTCCCTTTCAATTTCATTGAAAAGTTTGAAGAGTAATGGCAGTAGTTCTTCTCTAAATGTCTTGTACAATTCAGCAGTGAATCTATCAGGACCTAGGCTTTTCTTTGTTGGTAAATTTTTAATTACATTTTCAACTTCACTGATTGTAATTGGGGTGTTTAAAATGTTTTTATCCTCTTTGCTCAACTTTGGTAATTCATGAGTATATAGAAATCTGTCCATTTCTTCTGTGTTTTCCATTTCATTTGAGTACCTGTTCTCAAAGTAGGTGTTAATGATCCTCTAGATTTCTGTTGGATCTGTTGTGACTTTGCCTTTTTCATTCCTGATTGCATGGATCTGAGCCTTTTCTTTCCCTTTTTTTTTTTTTTT